TACTGCATGGAGCACTGGGTGTTATACGAAAACAATGGATCATGCATCACCACATCAAAAATTAATGATGTACTGTATGGTGACTAACATAACATAACATAACATACATACATACATACATACATAAATAAATAAATAAAATACTATATGAAACCAAGCATATAAAATGTCCAGAAAAGGCGAATCCATATACAAGGTAGATTAGCTTTTGCCAGGGAATGTAGGGCAGGAAGAATGGGAAATGACTGCTAATGGGTCCTGGGTTTCTTTCTGTGGTGGTGAAAATGTTCTCAAACTAGATAGTGGTGGTGGCTGAAGAACTTTGTGAATACCCTAAAAACCACTGTATTCTACCCTCATCATTTTAAAATGATGAGTTTTTGTGTTACGTGAATTCCCAGTTTTAAAAAATCTCCCCTTGTATCCTATTGTTATTTCCCTAATGTATGTTGCTATACTCCAGGCAGAACCTGGTAAGTGCTAATCTAAAAAGATCTCAAATGTTTTAAAATTTATAAGTACTGACACACATATCACATCCACACAAACACAAACAGCCCATTTGATAAATAATAAAAAGATATTATTCTAAGGGAACTACACTTGATCTTAGCCAAAACGCCAAGATGCAATATTCTGCAGGAAACAAAAAAATTCTTAGAATGGTTAGTATTAGCTAAAATACTACATTAAGAAGCAGAATTTTAAATAACTACTAATCTAGATCAGTAGCTATGTGTATTAAGAGAACAAACAAACCTTAATTACTATAATACTAGTATACTACTAGGACCAATAATTAACATTCAGGAACATTTACTATTTGCCAAGTAAGCATATTATAATCAACGTCCATAATAATCAATAAGGTAAGTACTATTGCAATCCCCATTTTAAAGACAAGGAAACTGAAGCACAGAGTATTCATACAAAGAGCAAAGAGTAAAGCCAGGAGGTAGTTTATCTACATAGCCTCTTATTTACTACACTATAGCATCCCTCCATAACAACCAAAAAGTACAGTCAAAGAGTGTTTTTGCACACTGAAAGCCCACCTGGTTTATAACATATAATTCAAGCATATATGTTTATATGTATTCTTACTTTTCACAATTAGTATCAAATCAAAACATTAAATATTTTACTTTATTAGTAACAGCAACCTTTCTACAAATAACGTGAAGCATGGTTATTCATATTAATTCTTACAATTTTTGAAAAAGTGATATAATATTTACCTTGTTCTGGGCCGTTGTTCATCTTCAGATTCACTAACTTCTTCACTAACTCCTGATTCCTGGAAATCAGAATCTTCAGAATCTTCACTGCTCACTTGAATAAAAAAAAAATATTAAATTAAATACTTCCCAACAGAAATGCAATTCACCAAATTTGTCAATACATTCACATTAAAACATGGACCACTGTGAGACTATCTATAGTATATATATTTGTGGATATTACACATCATACAGATTAGACCAGTTAATAACTCAAATAGTATTTATAAAAATAATTCAAACGTGGGGCGCCTGGCTGGCTCAGTCGTTAAGCGTCTGCCTTCGGCTCAGGTCATGATCCCAGGGTCCTGGGATCGAGCCCCACATCTTTCTCCCTCTCCCACTCCCCCGCTTGTGTTCCCTCTCTCGCTGTGTCTCTCTCTGTCAAATAAATAAATAAAATCTTTAAAATAAAATAATTCAAATGTATTCTAACTATGGTTATAAAATTATGGTTCTATATTGAAATATAAGTATTAATTGTGTATGAATTAACAAAATGAGAATTTAACTATCAATAAAATAAATTATTACCAAAGGTGAGTAAAAAGAATTCTGGTTATTCAAAACAAGCTGAAGTAGGCTGACCAAGATGGAGTAAGGGCAAATAAAGACTCTTCTGCCATTTATGACAACTAGAAACTATGAACAGAATACATAAAGAAGTGACCTAAGCACTAGGAAAAGGAAATAACAGTCAGCAGACTGGGAACTGAAATAAAAACCTGAATAATGATCCCTATCAAATTGGGGTTAGGGCATTGACTGTGAGTGTCATTGTTTTTTTTCCTTTCTTCCTGGTTTCAACAAGAAGGCAGGCTGAATTCCAAAACTATGCAGAGGGTGCTGACAGTAAAACTGGGAGAGCCCCATTTCTAGCCACAGCACTGAGAAAAGGGACCTGGGCCCTGCAAATCATGAAAATAAAGGGCATCTCCAATTTTATTTTTCTCTCAAAAATTTTTTCTGTACCAAAAGTACCACTACGACACAGGTATCTAAAACCCCAGGAGAATACCCATCTCTCTGGCCAGAGGAAGCCAGGCAGGGAAAATACAAGATGAGCCTGAAATATCTCGTGGTGCCAGAAAGTAAAGCAGTGCTCAAAACATTATGGGGGTATATTCAAAGGACACATGATCCAACTTGAAGGCGCTTCAAATAGCCAAAGCTGAAACAATCTGAGTGACAAAATGAAGAACTGGATTACAACTCACAGAATAAAATATCTATAAACCCATATTAACATAAGTAATGGGATAAATAAATAATGAAAACAGCCCTTTCTTACGATTACTACTGTATAAGTAATGAAAGAAGTAGAAAATCACTGCTAGATAAACATCACAGTAATTGCTTCAGGCAAGATGAATGTTAGAATCAGTGGCTAAAGTATGATGAGAAACAGGATATTTGAATAGTCTCTCTCCACAAGATATTAATTCAATGTGAATAGAAAAATAGATATTTCTGCAGTGGAAAAACCCAGCAGACCCCAATGAACAAAGCAATCAATATTAATATTACCAGTAATAACTGTCATCATATAACCTTGGTGTATGATACACTGAGAAAGATTAAATATCACTTTTGTGGTACTCTTGTCAAAATGCATAATAACCTCAATCCAATCATAAGAAAACATTAGACAAATACATTATAGATGGCCAGTCTAGAAAATAACTGATCAATACTCTTCAAAAGTGTCAAGATCATGAAAGAAAAGGAGAAACTGTCACAGATTAGAATAGATTAAGGAGACATCACAACTAAAAGCAATCTGGCATCCTACATTGGATTCTGGAGCAGAAAAGACATTAGTGGGAAAACTAATAATAAGCAAATAAGATCTATAGTTTACTTCAGAGATCAGAAAACATTTTATGTGAGAAGTCTGATGGTAAATATTTTCAGTTTTGTAGGCTATATGGTCTCTGTTGCAACTACTTATCTCTACTCAACTCTGCCACTATAAACACATGAAAACAGTGAGTAAGTATAATGTGATTCAGGTATAGCCTTCAGGTATAGTTAGCCAACCCCCAGTTTAACTAATTAGTATCGTATCAATGTTAATTTCCTGGTTTTAGTTATCATACTATAGTAAGTTTAAAGAGTTAAATTAGGGAAGCTGGGTAGAAGGTATACAGGAACTCTGTACTATTTTTACATTTCTTTAAACCTAAAATTTCAAAAAAAAAAAAATTTCTGAATGGGAAGAAATCAGAGAGGGAGACAAACCATGAGAGACTCTGGACTCCGGGAAACAAACTGAGGGTTACGGAAGGGAAGGAATGGGGGTGGGGTAACCAGATGATGGGTATTAAGGAGGGCACATGATGTGATGAGCACTGGGTGTTATACATGTCTAATGAATCACTGAACACTACATCAATAATTAATGATGTACTAAATGTTGGCTAACTGAACATAATAAAAAAAAATTGTTAAAGATCATGACCTGAGATCAGAATCTAATGTCTGTTCTATCCAAAAATAAATAAATTTAAAAAAACAGGCTAACATAAGTAAAGAATTGCTATTGGGGGAAATGGGAATAAGGAGTTACTGTTTAAAGAGTGTCAGTTTGGGATGACGTAACAGTTGTGAAGACAGAGTGTTGATTGTTGTACAATATGAATATACCTAATGTCACTAAACTGTACAATTAAAAATGGTTAAAATGGTTAAAATTTTATGTTGTATTTTACCACAATAAAAATAAATAATAATAATAATAATAATAATAATAATAATAAAAGAACTAATCAACTGGGAATGTGGGGGAGCACACGGGCCCACATGCACATACATACAAATCCTTTAAGTAAAATTCTAGGGGCGCCTGGGTGGTTCAGTCGGTTAAGCATATGCCTTCAGCTCAGTTCATGATCCTAAGGTCCTGGGTTCGAGCCCCGCATTGAGCTCCCTGCTCAGCAGGGAGTCTGCCTCTCCCTCTCCATCTGCCTCTCCCCCAACTCATGCTCTCTCTCACACGCTCTCTCACAAAAATAAATAAAATCTTTTTAAAAAAAGTAAAAATCTAAACCTATTAATTTTTCATCACTTTATTTTGAAAATTTTCAAACCTACCAAAAATTTGAGAGAATTACTGAATGAACATCTACATCCCTTCTCCCTTCTACATCCCTACAATTCACTTACTGTTAAGCTTATCACATTTGCTTGCTCGCTCTCTATACACGCACACTTTTTTACACTGAACCATTTGAATTTAAGTGCAGATATCATGACACTTTACCCTTAAACATAAGAATACTGTCCTATATAACTAAGTAACATTATCACACTTAGAAAAATAGTATCAGGGGCACTTGGGTGGCTCAGTTGATTAGGTATCTGCCTTCGGCTCAGGTCATGATCCTGGAGTCCCAGGATCGAGCCCCACATCACATCAGGCTCCCTGCTCAGCAGAGTCTGCCTCTCCCTCTGTCCCTCACCCCATTCTAGTGCTCTCTCTCACTCTCTCAAATAAATAAATAAATAAAATCGTTAAAAAAAAACCATCAATTTAATATCATCTAATATAAAGGCAATAATTACATTTTTAAAATTATCACCAAAATAACTATTATAACCTTTTACTAATTCAGGTGGAAACTGTAAGTTCACATGTTGCCCTTGATTTACTAAGTCAGCTACTCTCTTGATTTCTCCCCACTGCCTAACTTAAGTTTCCAGACAACATAGGCATATCGGAGTTTGCAAAACTTGGAAAATCATGCAACTTTAAATGTAGTATCAATCACTATGATCATAATCCATATTAGAAACATAAATATGATGGGATTTTGGTTTACTCCCTCTTTCACAAACAAATGAAAAAACACTTGGGTAGGGCGCCTGGGTGTCTCAGTCATTAAGCGTCTGCCTTCGGCTCAGGTC